CCCCAAAACCCCAAAACCCCAAAACCCCCAAACCCCGAAAACACTAATATGAGGAAAATTAGAGATAAAACATGGCTGAGATCAGAAGATATTTATTTGTTGTTGATACTCTACAAATAGATGATTAGTTTGAATAAAGATATAATTTTAATGTGAGGTATAGTTAATCCATTAATGAATTAAAAGTTCATAGATATATTCCTGTCCACATCACCAAGAAGATTAAACCAAAGCCTGCGAAAGCTGAGCTTGCGACAGCTGCTAATAGTTCCTTCACTAAGCTTCTCTATTCCTTTTGTTTGTTGACAAGATAACTATTTTAAGAATATTAGAAAGTATTTAATAATGGAATACTTACATAGTGAACCAAGACATGATGATGAAGGCAACGAATAGAAAGTTGAATGCTAATCTACCAAAATGCTTAGGACTGATAGGAGATTGATATGGGATAAGTTCAAGTCTTGACAAGTCAATTAACTCAGCTGTAGTTGTCATTTTATATATTAAATTATTAATAGTTTAATTAAATTATTAAGTGATTGCCTATAATAACATAGTATAATTGGACCATTCGTCCAAGCATTTAGTTAACTATTTTTCATGAAAGTCTCTATTTCTTCAAATATTTTTCAATTCAATTAGTAAGTTCATTGAATAAATTTAAACTTTAGTAATCTGGAAAAACATTTCAAGATCTTAGTCTTAATTGATATCAATAAATGCCTTTTCTAGTAGAAAATTATCAAAGTCTGATTAAAATAGTTGCTTACCGAGTGCACTGGAAGTGAATGAACTTAAATTATATGCAAAGATCTTGAGTCTAAATAATTTGAATGCCACTCACATATGAGATAGCAGCTTCAGTCGAAAGTCGAGAGAGGACGTCATAAATTCTGGAATCTAAATAAGCGACAGAAATCGACACTCAAGCTACAGAGAGCAACTCATGTTTACTAAGTTAATGATATATTTAATACTGGTAATTTTATTAAGGAAATTATCTTAATTTCCCTTAGTGTTATCTCTACAAAAACTATAAATTTAAAATTTAAACTCATAAATGTAAGCAGAAAAACAAAAGGGAAAGCAGAAAAAGCAAGAGGTTGTAGAGTAGGCTGTGCAGGAGTAAGACTCAGAAATGGAGGAGCCAGATGGACCAACACCTATTTAGAAGTTAGAAGAGCATGGAATTGGTGGAGGAGATATAAAGAAGCTCATTGAAGGAGGGTATCACACTTTAGAGTCAGTTGCATTTATGTCAAAGAAGCATCTAGTCCTAGTCAAAGGACTATCAGAAGCTAAAATTGATAAAATCTTAGAAGCCTGCCACAAATTAGTGCCTATGGGTTTCTAAACAGCAGGAGCCTATCTCGAAAAGAGAAAAGACTTAGTTTTCTTATCAACTGGAAGCAAAAGTCTAGATGTACTGCTTGGAGGAGGAATGGAAACAGGCTCAATAACAGAGATATTTGGGGAGTTTAGAACGGGGAAGACTCAATTATGTCATACTTTGTGTGTGACTTGCTAGATGGATATCAGCTAAGGTGGGGGTGCAGGCATGGCGATGTATATTGATACTGAGGGAACATTTAGACCAGAAAGATTAATACCGATAGCTAAGAGGTACGGGCTTGACGAACAGAAAGTTCTTGATAATGTTGCTTATGCTAGAGCTCATAATACAGATTAATAAAATAAGTTATTGCAATAAGCAGCTGCTCTAATGTGTGAGAACAGATTTGCATTGCTAATTGTAGACAGTGCTACAGCTCTATACAGAACAGATTATTCTGGTAGAGGAGAGTTATCCGCGAGATAAATGAGTCTTGCCAAATTTCTGAGATAACTCCAGAGATTAGCTGATGAATATGGTGTTGCTATAGTTATTACTAATTAAGTTGTAGCCCAGGTTGATGGAGCAAGCATGTTTGCAGCAGACTCTAAGAAGCCTATCGGTGGCCATATTATAGCGCATGCCTCAACAACTAGATTATCTTTGAGAAAAGGTAGAAATGAGAGTAGAGTATGCAAAATATATGACTCTCCATGCTTGCCAGAGGGTGAAGCAGTCTTTGCAATAACTAATGAAGGGATAGACGATTACAAGGAATGAGGAGTGAGGTTTTAATTAATAGCCATTATCTAAGAGGCATGAATGTATGAAGAGTTAAGTCTATTATTTTAATTATATTAAAGTTGAGCAAATAGCTATGATATAAATTAATCAAATTATATTAAATAAAATGAATCCGATGTATCAGAGCAATAATGCTTCTCGTAATCGCGTTTAAACCGAGGATTTCAACTAAAAGTGAAATAAGCATCTTAGAAGTATTCAAGGTCATAATAGAAGTCCATATCAAACCTTCGATCTTAAAAGTGTTTAGCAACCTAGATACAATTAGACTATTTTTGAGTAAGGAAGACTACCTAACATAGTATTTGAAGTGGAATCTCAAATGACGATGAAGGCTTTCCAAACAACATTAATGAAACTCACGAAGTAGAAGCTTAGCCCTAACAACAATAAAAATTAAATGACAATAACTGCTAAAAATAAGTATAAAAATATTACGGATAGCTTCTTGAACACCTCAATAGATGAAAAACATTACAAAGGTATTGAAAGAATAAATATACCATCTAAACTACGAAATGATAAATATTAATCTAAAAGCCTTGTCACAAGGTAAAACTCAACATAGTTAAGTTTCAATCAGCAGATAAACGGACATAAGTACCTGCTTCCATTCAGTGAGAAAGAAGAACTTTAATAAAAGTTTTCAACAATGAGTGAGTAAAAGTAAAGAGAACACAGTGCTGCCCAAAAATACTACTTAAAATATGATATCCCAAAAATCAGAACAGTAACAATAGAGCAAAGTGAATAAGAGTAGAAAGAGTAGGAATCTATTGATGATATTAGAGGTAGTGCAAAAGCTTTTGATTTCGATCAATCCTTTATGCAGCTGAAAGCTAGACAAATAGAACTTGAGTAAAGCATCTAAAACTAACCTAGAAAACCAAAGGGTGCTCTACCCCCGAGAGAAATACCAGCCAATCAAAGAGCAAGCAGCTTAATGCATTTATCCAGAGAGCTATTTTAGAAGCAGGCCAATTTGAGTAGTTACTATTAAACTGGCATGAATATTGAGAACTCAGTTTTAAAGGATCGAAACCTGACTACAATTTAAAATCCATATCTAATAACAGTGACCAAGGATTTATTCGGTTCTCCTTAATAGTTTGATTTTGCATAGGCCAATAATTTCAACTATGATCATAAGCAATTTTTCCCAAAGACTTCATTATACAGCTAAAAGAAAGAGAAATTGAACGATTATAAGCATAACATATCAACCTAGGTTGATGAAAATAAGGATGATTTGATTATTAACAAGTTCTAAATGAATCACAAATACAAGCATTATGAGAGAGATTCCTAATTGAAGGTTCTGAATTTAGACTTGAATAAAAGCGAAATGATCAGTGGAAACTAATCTCTAGAGATGACAAATCGAGATAAAATTAGCACCTCTTTCGTTTAGTAATTAGACATTGACTCAGGGAATAATACAAAGAGAGATAGGATAGTGTTGATATAAAAGAACCAACTAAAAGTTCATACAAGAATTAAGAAATCTGGAATGATATCTCCAATGAGAAAAAGTAAATTAGATAAGTAAATTAAGGAGTCTCAGAAATTTGTAGTAAAAATTAGAGCAGATGACTTTATCAAAATAGCTAGCAACTAAATACATTCATATACTACTAACAATGGCGATTAGTCATCATAGAATGCAAACAAGCAGCAGTTAGAGCATTTCGACACTTACCCATTAAATACCAATATGCAGAGCAGTGGAGAATTAGTGAAGAATGAGGAGTCAATCGGCAATCATCTAGAGAAAAAGATTGATTAACCCTCAAATAGAAATACCTAACTTGAAAAATAGAGTAAACTCTTATCCTCAAGGAAAAAGGAAGAGAATTCACGAGCTAAATCTCATATATCCAAAGACAAAGCAGCTGCAATTATGTTCTTCCAGACTGAAATTGAGAATATCAACAATAACAGCAGCGTCAATAAGACCCACAGTAAGAGTAGAAATGCCTACTACGACTAGAATTAAAAGTCGAAGAGAAATTAGTCTCTAGAAAGCTACCGCTAATAGATGCAGTCGCCTCTAAGAAATAGTATCGTCAATGAAATAATGGAAAAATCCTCAATTTTAGATTCTGGATAATCCAGTGGATTTCCTAGCCTCATCAACTTAAACAATGTTAATGTTAGTGCATACTCTAAGAATATAACAGACCTCAAGAACAAAACCTAGCCTATAAATAATGCGATCAATGTCACTGCTGTAGTTATAAATCCCTCTGAGACTCAGCACGTTTTTGGAATAAACAAGATTTAAAACACAAAAGACTTTCTTAGTACTTACTTTAAGAGTAAAGATCCAAAGCCCTTTGAAAATTTCTAGAAGAAGTATAAAATGCAGAAGGTAAGAGATGCAGTTGCTAAATTAGAGCGGTCAACTTTAAATCACAACGCGAATCCCAATAAAACTATGTGATTAATATAAGTAAGCAATAAAGATAGGTATTTAATTATTCCTCTCCGATTTAGATCTTATTTTATCATACGGGGTTTTGGGGTTTTGGGGTTTTGGGGTTTTGGGG